AAAAAAGTAAAGCATTAAATTAAGTACACAAATACATAAATCTGCCCTCATAAATTTTTTCACAATAATTTCGAAGCATTTTATTTCTTTGTAAAATACGTATTCATTTTTTGTATTGTTTTCCATTAATTTTTTGTATTAATTTTAAAATTACAAAGTTGATTGCAAAATACTGAATGGTATTGTTAGTGAATAAAGATATCTATATTCCACTAAATTTAACCATTTGTCGAGAATCGAAAGCGCCCAATAATAAGCTAATCTTTCGAATCGCATTAAAATTCTTATCGCATTAAAATCGCGCAAAATACAGTGTACGCTTTATCGCGCGACATAAATCCACTTAGGATTTTATCTTCTTGCATTTACTGCAGCTTCTTGACATTCAAAATTTATGAAGACTAATTTCTGAGAAGCACCGCCGGTTTCTGCTTGTTTAGTTTCGCTAATTGTGGTGTCACGTTATTTACAGTAAGATGCATATAGGAAGTTAAATAATTCAGCGCTTCGCATAAATTATAATCAATTTGGCTAACTAAGTAACTTAACTTAAGCAACTGGATTTATCTGATTTTTTTATCATACATCACAATTTTAATGTCGTCTGCGTAATATTTCACGTTGAATTAAAAAATGTAATCAAACTTCTCTATCAACTTTATGCAAATATTTTCTGCTAGCACTAAGAACGCACTCTTGTTTTTGTCTCTTTATGCTGCTCGATGTAATTTTGAAGTCTGCAATATTGAGCAACTCTAAGGAAAAAAAGTTTAGTCGGAGCAGCACAACTGCACAACTAGTTGCTCATAAAAAATGCAAAAGAACTTTTATTTCATACCAAAGCCTGAAGCACAGAACTCAATGATAAAAAGATGTAAATATGTGATAAAATAATTTATTAACTCTTTGATACCAAGTTATTAAGAAAACTTTATTAATTTCTAATTTCAATGTTCCGACAAGAACACTGCTATCTGTCGCGCCAAACATACACACACACATGCACGATTTATATTTGGCGTGGGTGTAAGAGCGGTTTAAGAGATTTTCGGCTAGCCAGGTGAATTGTGGATCGCAATAACGAGCTGCTTTCCGGAAGAACGACGACAATAAGCTCGCTGGCTGAGCAAAGCCTCTTTCCGCCATACTAACCTAGAAAAGGATTAAGGACCCGTACGAACGAAGAGAGCCGGCCCGAACATCGGTTTCGCAAAATTTCCTTTTCGAATCTCAACGATAATAATTTAACAAAGCATATTTAATGGTCGGATGATAATTTAATCGCTATTAGTAAAATTACACGTAAAATACTAAAAGTGAATTCTCATTATAAAGACGAAAAGTTAATATGCGTGCGCTGTGATGAGTGAAATATAAATGAGTACACAAAGAGAAATAAATATTATTTTATTAAATATCGTTATAAAATTTCACACTGTCGCTTTAATTAAATTTTCATTTCAACTCACTGTCAATGTTTTTTTTTCCTCAATTTTTTTCTATGTAACGGAACATTTGTCACGCGAAACTTCCCGTTGCAATATAAATGAATTAAGAGTTTAGAATGCACGTCGTAAGACATGAATGCGAAATTCATTCTCGCTCGGTCTGCGTTGACTTTACGAGTGCTACAATGTTCGCGGATACACGAAATTACCACCGTGAGACCGTGTACTGCGTAACCGTGTAACAAGTTATGAAATTTGCGCGTGTAGTTGCGCGTCACTGTTTCCCAGACTTTCGTTTCGTACATACGGAGGTGTGTTCCGGGTTAAATTCAGTTAGATTAATTATAATGCATAATTGCAGAAGAGTCTTTTTCTCTCAACGCTCGAAAATAGAGAACTGAATACAGATCAGACACTAATTCCAAATCATTTTTATTATATGTATGTGTGTGTGATGTAGATTCTTGTCAAACAGCAGTATTTGCAGAATTAATAATTAATGAGAAGGAAAACAATAAGAACCGGAAACACGGTTGACGAAGCATAAGAATAATTAATTATTATTAATAAAGATAATATGTAATTATATTTATAGTAGTTAAATTAATAGAAGATCTCGACTAATTCTTTTATTTTAATAAGAGAGAGAGAAAGAGAAAGAAGAAAGTCCAGTGCACATTTATTAAAAAATGCAGGTCTGATATAAATATGTTAAAACGTTTTACTTAAAGCTTTTTGGCGAATTTAAATAAAAAGATATTTTAGATAAATAATAAAAATTCTAAACAAATATATACAGATTTGCATGTAAATTTCTTTATATTCCTGGAATCTTTCTTTTGTGACGCTAGGAGTTGAAATCTAGAATGATCAAAGTCGGATATTTGCACAAGTTTGAATAATGCGGGATCGTAAAAATTTTATTTCTATGGGAAAATTTCCCGTCTCGTGCGCAGATTCAAATATAAAGTGTGAGAATTACACGGTTCTGTATATTTATCATTATTTTGCGTATTGACATTTAGAGATACCACCATTGTCTCGAAGGCTTAAATTCATCGTAAACGGATCAGCGAAATGATCCAATTATCGGTTATCACCTCTTAAAGATGAAAGCTATGAGTCCGATATCACGCATGCGGAGTATTAGAATTTGCCATAATAAATTTACGAGACAGCGCCAGAGGCTCATGTCGATACAGAGGCGAGAGTGGAGAATGGGGAAGGATTAT